TGTCCTGTGGTATTTGATCTCGCAATACAGACTCGTTCCCAGCAACCAGTGCACTCTGATTGGCTCGTGAACAACTATGCAGCCACAGACTGGCCCGCACTTAATAACCACCTTTGGAGCCTCCCTCTTCTCGCTGCTGTACAAGAAGCCAGTAGTACAGATGAAGCATGGGTCTCCTGGCGAACACTAGTTGACACAGCCATATTATCTTTTGTTCCGAAGGTTCGAAAACGAACAAATCGTTATGGAAAGCCTTGGTTCACCTCTGTGCACCATCGCCTCCGTCAACGTCGAGATCGACTATTTGCTGCAGCAAAACGTGTCAATACCCCTGAGTGCTGGGCTGCTTATCGCATTTCAAGGAACTGCCTCGTCGCTGCCATCCGTAAAGCTAAACGTCACTTCTACGACCAGATGTCAGAAGGCCTTCATGCAGATCGAGGATCTTATGACTGGTGGAAGAGAGTCAAGAAAATGTGCCACATCAATTGTCCTCACACCGCTATACCTGATATACAAGGAGTCGATACCTTAGCGGTTACCGACCCTGAGAAAGCGAACATCTTCTGTCAACAGTTCGCCAAGAATAGTCAAGCTACACCGTCGTCGGATGCAGATCATCGTGATCTCGCCATGCCTTCTTCTTCGGAAACATTTGCCATCCGCCCTCTGTCTATCGTAGAAGTATTCAAGGCACTGTCGACCCTAAGTGTGCGAAAGTCTACAGCTGGCAGTCTTCCTAACAGGATCCTACGAGAGACAGCAGAAGTGCTCGCCCAATCCCTCACTGCTCTCTTTAACCGCTGCACCACTTACCGATCCCAACCCCTTGAGTGGAAAGTTGCAATCGTTACCCCAATTTACAAGGGTAAGGGAAGTCGCAATGACCCTGCTAACTACCGGCCGATATCTCTGCTGAATGGTGTGGCAAAATGCTACGAAGCGTTAATCAGCCGCCAGGTGTACGCGTTTGTAGCGAAACACAAACTACTGTCGCCGAAACAGTTCGGGTTTCGCCACCACCGAAGCACGGTTGACCAACTTGTGCATATCACATCAACTGTCAGCTCTGCATTTGATAACCGGGCCCAGTGTGATGCCGTCTTTCTCGATTTCTCGAAGGCATTTGATCGTACCAGCCATCGCCTCCTAGCCTCATGTCTGTCCGGTTGGTGTGCACCTGACTCATTCGCGTGGCTGATGGACTTCCTGGAAGGCCGATCGATGTCTGTGCGGGTCGGAACCTCCTTATCAACCCATATGTCGCTCACCGCTGGTGTGCCACAAGGCTCCCACCTAGGCCCCCTATTATTCAACCTTTCTATCAACTCCCTTCCCAGCATTCCCCAATCCAGCGATCTGACTCTGTTTGCGGACGATTCCAACATGGTCTGCGTTTCTCCGCCTACTGTCGTACCCGCCGCGCACACTGCCTCCCTGCAACTAGACCTTGATAGATGTGTGAACTGGTCCCATAAAGCTGAAGCAGTTTTCAATGCTAACAAATGTGTCCATGTTCCCTTTTGCAGACCTAAATCAAACCCACCTGATCCCAGGACCGTCACCATGGCCGGTACGTTACTGACCCAGCCTTCTTCCCACCGCCATCTGGGCATCATCCTGACTTCTTCACTCAATCTGTCCCCCCATATTCAACACATTACCAGCAAATTTCGAGGTCGGGTTTTTCTTTTAAACCACATGTCCAACTTCCTTCCTTTTCCTGCTGTGAATCTTTTGTATAAATGTTATGTTCGTCCCCTCCTTGAATATGCTGTTCCCGTTTGGATGTTTTCCGTTTCAGCCACCATGTCCACAACCCTTGATAAACTGCAGGCTACTGCTGCTAGAGCATACTTAATAGTAAACTCAAGCGTCGGCCTGACTGGACGACTTCCAAAGAAGACCTCAATGTTCTGTCCTCTTGGGAATCGTTAGCATGGCGACGGCAGATTCTTGGCCTTGTCTATTTCCACCATGTATTCTCCCAATACCCCTCCTTGTTGTCTCACTTCCAGCTACCCTCTTCCCAAAGCAGTCGTCACCCTTCATCCATAATTCTTCCTAAAGCTGGCACCTTCTTTCGTAAATCAACCCTTTTTTCTTTGAGTGTTGCCTGGAATAAACTTCCTGAAGATATTCGTTCACTCTCTACAACAGCGAAATTTAGTATTGCTGTTCGTCGGTATCATTCGCAATCAATGTTTTCTTTGAAAGGTATTCCTGACTTTTGTGTCTAGGCTAACCACACCTATGATAGTTTCAATAGTTTGTGTATATGTCAGTTATAGTAGTCCGCAATGCTGCTTTTCTAATTCTCATTATGATTAGCATGCAATGTACTACCCGAAGTACTGAATTTACTTCTTCTGTACTCTATATTCTAATGTATCTTCTACCTCTTCTCCCTTACGAACATACTTTCTCATTTTCCATACTTACTTAGGAGACTCCCTTCGATAGGCATCTATTTGCCTTTGGAGGATCCGTGAAATAAAAATCAATCAATCAATCAATGATACAATCGATTATGGCCAGCGATGCTCTACCACTAAGCACTCTACCACTACTAGTCATCCAAGCAGCGTCTGCTCAACATTTTCCTCAGACTTAGAAACTCCCGCTTCCTGTGAATTGACAAAAATCTAGTGGGACGCAAGGAACGTACATGACGTTTCAGGTTTAAATATGGTTTGTTTACATCGTGCGAAACTCAGGATATTCATGATACAAGTGCACGACGACGAAGGTTGACACTTCGTTCACTGGCTTCTCAACTGTTGTTACGTAGTCTCGTTACCTTTTTGCGTTTCCTCTTGTGGTTTTATTGCACTTGTATCATGATATTATGTGACATTTCTATCACCTTAGGATATGCATTCCGCTTATATCAGATTCTTTCTTCAAATTTAGCTCCACCGAAATTGTCAACAGTTCTAACGTGTCGAGGTTGCAAGAGGACCATACCAATGTTTAGAACAGGGCTTAGTGTAATAGATCATGTCACATATAACCGGCACTACCTATTATCACTACAAAGACAACTAATTGCACAGTAAGCTTTTCATTATGTCGACATGTATGTGTAAAATGTTGTACGATTATCGCAAGGCACACAACGAAAGGGAAAGCGAGGATTTGTTCAGAACTGTTTTCTTGTTTCAATCATCAGTGAATCTACGTAACAATGGAATGGGGACTACTTGAAACTAATCTTATATTGATAGATAAAAGTGAAAGAAAGGGAAAAAGAGCGAAACAAAAAAGGTGATAATCGTACAACATTTTACACATACATGTCGACATACATGTATATGAAATGCTTACGGTGAAATAAGTTGTCTTTGTAGCTATATTAAAACTCCTGTCTCCGAAACGCTTGTTCACTAATAATACTACAAAAAATGTATTGGCTACGGATGCACCTGCGAATTAGGACATGTGTCAAAAAGTATTAAACGTTTTCGTTCCCTTCCTCTCAAAATACTACGGGAATGATGAAAATATGCTAAGAGACTACAGCTATAAAGAAAAGAATTTCCGAGATACATCACTCGAATAATTTGTAGAAGTGACAAGGGAAAAATTGATGTGAATAGTCAAGAAAACAGCATGCATAATCCAATCAGTGACAAAAACGTAGTGACAAGAAAAAGAGAGAAAATATCAAGAGATTATGGGATCTATTTCGCATCTTCACGAAAAACAGTGCCAAACAACTGCAAAGACAACACATTCTCCTTCTGAACACAAAGCTCAGGTCCTAACTAACATATGTACAAAGCTTCCAACACGGCAAGGACATTTTCTCTCCTTTTCTTGCCACTACGTTTTTGTCGTTGTCCTTGAAATGAAAATGTATTTTTGATCAGTAGTTGTAACCCTCATGCTGAACAGTTGCTTTCTGTTTCGTAATTTTTTTCATATCTCTATATCTGATATTTGGGTTGGCATAACTTCTCCCCAGTCAGACTGTTCCGACCGGAAAGGGTGGTGGAAGGTGTTTACATCTAGATACGTTCAAGCAGCATGCATGCCAGATATCTTTTACTAGTGGTGTTTGTCGTAGTGGACAAATCAATATATTCATTGGGTTGAAATCATCTGAGGAAAATCGGTTGCTCCCAACAACAGAGCTCCCGCTTTCCGCCGACTGACTTGATACCTGGCTAAAGAGTGGTGATATTTTGCAGGCTAGCTTGATTCAAAGTTTCGGTTTACTTCTTGTGTGCTCTTGGTGGCAATCAGGAGTCGATTAAAATCAAGGCAGTAGGCGTATAGAGCAAGCCCCGGTATGAGGAACAAAACCTTCCCATATGAAGTAATTGACGAAGTTGCTAACAGTTATCCCCTGTTGGTATCTTCGTTACTTCTGTCTTCACCACAACGTGCTTCACCAACTGTAGCAAGGACAATAACACGCGGGAAATACATTAGCTGTAGTTTTAATTTTCATGTTTTTAGTGCGCACGCAACACACTCTTTTGTCTTTTCATTGCGTGAACCACTGTAACGGGATGAAAGAACAATGATATTCAATGCATATCAGTGCCGGAAGCGGAAGCTAATGTTGAAGATCATGACATTGTCACATCTTGTAAACCCTTCCTATAATATCTCCCTCGAGGCTAAAGAACCTCCATAAAACTGGGACTCAATTCATATATACTTAGCAACAAAGACTCTCTGTTGCACTTTCTCAAGTCTGGTGCGTGCCATGCATGTTTCACATTTTTCGATTCCTAATGAGGTGTGAAGGTAAAGACGAAATTTGAGAGATAGTTCATGGTGGGGAATTCTGTATGTGTGTGTAAGTGTGTGTGTGTCTGCGCGCGTTACATGACAAGAATTTTACACATTGTGTCAGGTAAAGGGACAGTGCTAGAAATAGATGTGAACTGTGTTGACGTGACGACTTGGCACACTGTACATCTACTTACTAAGGGGAACACCAGCTGCTACTAATTACAAAGGTGGTGAAAATTGGTCAAGGAAGTGAATCATGGACGATAGTGACTGCACTTCGGAGGGGTGTGTCGACTATGATGCACAATCACCATCGCCACCATTAGTGATATGGACAAGCAGAAGGGCAGTTCCACCGCCAGCTACATTACCTTACAATGCACCTTACACAGCTCTATACCCCGCAAACCACGATAGTGGTGAACAAATAGCGACCGCTCAGGTCTCCTATAGTTCTATTCAGGGTTCCTCATTCAGTTCTTGGAACACACAAACGTCTTCCTTCGGTGTACTTCAAGATTATCGGCTGAAGAGCGTTGCTGACAACGTCATGGACCCCCGACCCGAAATCCAGAGGGCGAAAGATACAAAGCCCAGTGAAGCTCCAACCACACCTGTCTTAAACCCATGTTTGGATCCCATGACATTGGCAATGGACGACGATCACTGTACGCGAGACAACAGTAAAGCAACTGTACACTATTCCGTTCCCGTTTCAGATCACTACACAGGCAGTGGGAACGTAACGTTAAACTCGGAGTATAGCAATTTCTCAAGCAATGCTGGCAATGTTAACGTTAACGGAGGCCGCAGAGTACATATTGCCGGATATGTGGCAGTGTCTTCCCAAGTGGCTAGCTTACCTGAGGGTCCCAAGAATCACAATCGTGAAAGGATCAACAATCATCACACCTCAGAGCCGTTTTCTGAGGCAGTTTGTCAACTTCAAACTAACCATCGTCAACCGGAAACGTCACTCTGCGAGGAAACCGGGAAGTCACCTGATCGCCGGCATGATCAGCTAGATCGTGGACATTCACATCCTGGAGAAAAAACGTATAAACGTAAGCATTGCGATAAATTCTTATCTACTCAGTCTTGCGTAACATCTCATGAATGTCCACATCCTGAAGAGAAATCGCTCGATTGTAACTTGTGTGATAAAACGTTCAATAACCTACCTCATCTTACACGTCATGGACGAGTTCACTCTGTTGAGAAACCATTTCCGTGCAAATACTGCGCCAAGCCGTTCGGTGACAAATCCGCTCTAAATGTTCATGAACGTATCCATACCGGAGAGAAGCCGTTCAGGTGTGGTTACTGTGATCAAATGTTTCGCCGTAATACCCATCTTAGAGTTCATGAACGTACCCATACTGGAGAGAGACCATACAAGTGTAAATCGTGCGAGAAGTCATTCACGACGAAATCAAAGCTCACCCGGCATAGACGCATCCATACTGGAGAGAGACCATACGAGTGTAAATCATGCGACAAGTCATTCAAGACGAAATCAAATCTCACCGTGCATCAACGCATCCATACTGGAGAGAGACTCAGACCACACAAGTGTAACTTGTGCGACAAGTCATTCACGACGAAATCAAATCTCACAGTGCATCAACGTATCCATACTGGTGAGAAACCATACAAGTGTAAAGTATGTGGCAAAGACTTCCGAGCAACGTCAACTCTCGCAAATCATCAACGAATCCACACTCTTGAGAGAACCTGATCAAGTGTCAGCTATCGTGACAAGTCTTTCAATGTGAAAAACAACATGGAAGACCATGCAAATACAAACACCGTAAAACAGAAAGATTGTTTTCAAGATTGTTGAAAGTGCTACTCATAAGCCCGTTTCGAACCACAAGTAGAATAAAATCAATGTCGTTTCAAGCCCGATCCGTAATACATGCAAAGGTCTCTACTTACATGCTAACTTCAACATAATTATGTAACGTGCAAACCATTATCATTGCCATTATACTCCGAGTGATATCCACTATTTCATTTCTTGTTTTCCATTGCACTTCTTACAGAAAAGGAACGTGTTTCCATACTTACCTTGCCACTCAATTGCGCTAAACTTTACTGTGTGTTTTTTGGGATAAATCAGTCATGCTATATAACCGAAACCTACTGCTGGAGCACGTATGCCTGGTACGGATCTTTTCGCTGGAAGAGGCACTCTACTTTTTTCATTTTCGGACATGATGCTAAAAATTTGTTCATGTATGTACTCTTGGTCCCATGTGTCATACTGTATAGTAACGATCTACAAGTACTACTTATCAAAACTCTTCAAATACTATCGCACTGTCGTTGTTGGGTGAAAATGCGTAAACGGGAAATTTGACTGCCAATACCAGAACTCAAACCAGCGATTCTCTTTTTTGATAGCTGAGAACGTAAAACGTATCTTACTCCACTGTATCAGACCAGTGTGAGGTTGATAGGTTGCCTACTAGAGTCACAGTTAGGATGCACCGCCAGTGCTGGATGTGCCAAATGCCAAATGCAATAGAGAAGATGGTATTTGTGATGCTTATCATAGCGGAATGGTCTTGGGGAATACCCTTCTTGTCTTGGTCAGCAGCCTGCATGTCGTCGTCCTCATCAGCTTCGCTATCACCACCGGTAGTATACATGTCGGTGGCGGGTCGTTTGGAATCGCCATTGGAGTCTCCAGTGTGTGCCGTGCGAAGAGAAGGGTGATCTATGCTAGCACCCTGACTGTGCTGCAGGCTAATAAGCAGAGCCAAGCCCAGGAAGGCAAGAAACATGATTCTTATCTTAATTCGTCGCACGGAGCTGCAGCGGGTTGAGCCATGGGGGTCTGGGGTCGAATCACGTTGTTTTATTTAAAACTACACCGCTGCCACCAATGTAATGGGTAGCCGAGTGGTAGGCGCGGTGCAATTAACAAGAATTACTTTCATTCTACTTCTTTCAGGTACACACCTGAGATATAATTATTAGTGAAAGTAGAAACGGCAAAATAACTGACTTTCTCTCCGGTACCACACCTGGAGGTTGAATAGCTCGTTATTATCAAAATCTCATCTTCGAGTTAGCTTTCGTTGCTATCTAATCTAATCTTCTCTTCATCAAAACAGAAATGCGCAGCCGCTTTTAAGCAGCAGCTGCCGTACGCTTACATACGGAGATACACTAAATATACATCAGGCAAAGCTCCGTATTAGTTCCGTACTGCTTCCGTATTGGTCGGGCAGGGATACTACATAAGCATCTCGCTCTAGAATGAGTTTCATGATCATTAGTGTCCAAATTATGGTAATCTATAATGGGCATTATCATTCTCTTAGTATTGACTCCCATTGATTTTCGCTATACCTAAGCAGTCAAATATTCCTGCATATTTCACTCCTGAGGGCTATACTGACTGCTTATATTTGATTGCTTAGGGGTTGCGCAGTGGAACGGTGCCTAGTGCAGCATTGTCACTGCATGAGTAGGTGGTGGTGCAACGGTTGTACAATCATAAAACCGGGATTCATGAGGTTATCGTTCTGAAATTTGAAGTACGGACTGTTTGCCGTGATAAATCTAATATTGACTTCGTACTTGGTCAGTCTCGGCTTCGCATCGGTCTTTTACTCGCCTTTTATTTCCTATATTGACCTCGTACTCAGTCAATATTAGATACGTATAATAAACTTGTGGCAAGGAACTAGATTTTTTCCATTGCTAAACTTGGTATAAATGTGAGCTATTACGACACAAGAAATACAGGATATGATAATTATATTTTCCACGAGGAGCTGACCTTCCCTTCTGTATGATTGGGTGCATTTCATTCCCTGCGAGGACACTTTTATTGACTATAATTGGACTCATAGCTGTGCGATATGAATACATTTCGTTACTTTAACTGCAATGTAAGGTAAAAGAGAATCTCTTCAACAGTCCTTAAAATTGATTCGGTGAGACACATTCCTGACTGTCATTTCCAAGACCATTGCTCACAGATCTAGGGCTGCACAACACGCAGATCCTACTTCAGTGACTGGATCGTCTACACAGAGTCATAGTGCCTACTCCTCCACACCTTTCAGTGCCCTGAAGTGTCACTGAAGCCGGGACAGAACAAGAACGCATCCATACTGGAGATATGCCTATACTGGAGATACGTCTTTTCAGTGTGCGGAATGTTCGAAATCTTTAGCCAAGCACTCCAACCTAAAGTCCAAGAAAGAATCCATCCCTTAGAGAAACTGATCAGGTGACAGCGCTGGTGACAAATCCATCAAATCGAAAACAGACTTTGAAGACCATGCAAATACTAACAGCCAAAGGTTTGTTTTTCCAGATGTTTAATTTAGGTCTCCATGCAAATTTCACTGCTTACATGCTGGCGTCAGCAAATGTAAAATCAATAACATTATCATTGCATTGCAGTTGATATCTACAGTTTAATTTTATGTTTTCCATTGCATTTCTTACACAAAAGGAATGTGTTTCCAAATTAACAAGGAGAAACAATTTTATTGCGTGGAACGTCCCTTGGCGGTTCATGTTTTGTAAAGAAAAACAGGTCTTTCTTTCAAATGTAGCTCATCTTCTAGAAGATACACTGTGCGGCTTGGGAGTTCACACATGATTCAAAATATGTGAGTTCCTTTGTTTCTGTATGTAACTTTGATCCCATATGTGGTAGTGTACAGTCCCGTTCTAGTCCATGTCAAATAACCCAAAATTTCTAATAATAAGATAATTATGATGAAGAAAGGAAAAGGACAAAAATTAATGTTACGAGTTATGACAAACTGTCCACCAACGTAACCAGATCTTTCTTATACAGTCAGCGAGTGCGACAAAATGGTACAAAACTGACAAGGACTACTGAGACATTTGTGTCATAATATGGCCCAATATCTGAGAAAATCGACCTTCGGGGCTGTTTTGGTGAAATTGATTTTTTTGTTGCAAATTGATGTCTAGCCTTTGTTGAGTATTGTCACTTCGTTTCACGGCCATCAGACCAATATTGACCATGTAGAAATCCATTTTACAGTCAGGAGTCATGTTAATGAATTGTTCTTTTTTTTACAATTTTGAAAGATCAGTGTGTTTGGAGCCACCAAAAATTGTTTCCGTGTGATATCAATAGCCAACTAATATAGTAAAGTGTTTTGACTGTTCAGGTACATCATTTCCAGCATTCCGTGACTTTATTGAGGTTGTGTAGTTTCAACAGCAGCAATAGCAGCATTAGAAGGAGAGGTGATTTATCTGTTCTCCTGGTGATGGACATGCTTGACAGGATAGTCTGCAATAGATTTTGACGGAACACCATGATACATGTAACAGCATTCACATACTTATTGTGAAGGAGTCAAACAGAGCAAATGCGTCCAGATTCGCTTTGTCACCCTTTGTGGAGACTGACCATTTCCAAACATCAGTAACACAGCCTGACAAGCGTTTCACACCACCAACTCAAAAGTAACAGAATGTTACTAGTACTCGAGATTGCCCAGCCTCACGTGCTCCGTGATGGTCTGATTCGCCATTATTGGCTCGAGTATCGAGCTTGCCATCCAAAACATTTTAGGATCATCGTCGCAAAGAAAACTCGCATCATTTCGTGCTGTTTTAGCAGGTCTGGCGTGACACTCAGGAAACAGTTCTGCCACCCGCGCAAGGGCGGCCAGCGACCTTGCAAGCGGCGTACCCTCAGGAATTCACTTGGTTGTCCTTGCCTGGAGCTGTAGCAGCTATCGCTGAGGCAGACTGTGGTTGGCCTTGATCATACTCACCCAGGCCAAGTCCTCATCATCGTCGCCCCCGACAGGTAAGTACCGCGTGTCACTTGCGATCGATTCGACTGACATGCGCTCTCAGAACTAGAAGCGCTGTCGCCGCTTGACAGGATATCCACAAAGAACGATGCATCACCGTCCATGGGATCGCGGCTGCTGTGCTCCGTGAGCCCAATAACCAACTGACACAAGAATCGCCTTCCATCTCCTTCCGCCATTGTCGTCTCTGCACTTTGCTTCGACAGATTCGATTTTTTTGCGAACAAATTTGTTTTTAGTGTTTTCTCAAAAAAACCGCGTAGCCCCGAAGGTCGAAAGTCTCAGATATCGGGCCATATTATGTAAGCACATTTGCTTTGCCCCTACAAGAGGCTTGTTTACTTAGACATTCATGGTCCTGACACCTAGCTCCAATACTTCTCCAAGGTGCAAACCAACACCCTTCCAACTTGGAAAGCTCAGGTTCGGAAAGGTCCACGAGGGGAAGGACAGAGTTTATTACATAAACTTGAGCCGCCCAAGTTGGGTGGTCTGTTGCTTTGCGTCGTGGAGTTGTAGTGAAGTCCAATAGTATTACTAGTTTCGTCATCATCCAGTAACTTTTGGCATTCTTAGTTGCCGTGACACGTAGCTCGTGCTCTTCTTCGTTGCGCTTTCCTTCCCCTCTTGGAACTTTCCGAACCTGAGCCTTCCAAGTTGGAAGGTTGTTGGTTTGCACGTTGGAGAAGTGTTGGAGCTAGGTGTCAGGTCGCCGAATGTCTCAGTACTTCTTGTCAGTGTTGTGCCATTTTGTCGCACTCGCTGCCTGTATAAGATCTGGTTACGTCGGTGGACAGTGTGTCATAACTCGTAACATTTTGTCCTTTTCCTTTTTTCATCATAACTATATTGGCTCACCATCTGAGTTTGATCCTTCAAGGGTGGTGGCGTTCCTACGGATGCGAAAAAGAACCGTGAACTTTTTCTATTGCCTTTGTGCTCCGTCCATTCAACACCACAAACAAAAACAGAGCTGCATAGCCAGTGGCTGAAAATGGTGAAGTCTAGTCTAGACACTAATGCTGTTCTATTACGTAAGGGATGTAGGGCCACCAACTACACTTTCACAACTCTACATCTCATCGTATCACATCTCTTCACACCTCATCTCTTCATACCACATCTTTTCATACCTCATCTCTTCATACCTCATCTCTTCACACTTCATCCCTTCACACCTCATCTCTTCTTACCTCATCTGTTCATACCTCATCTCTTCTAGCCTCATGTATTCACACCTCATATCTTCATGCCTCATCTCCCCACATACTTGTCCCTAGTCGGCCTAGACTCACACCATCGCCTCATCCTATCCCTTTCCTCATCTGCATGACATATAATTATTATTATGTTTCAAATTGTGTGATTCCAAATCAGAATTGGGTGTGAAGACTACATAAGAGAGATGGGCGTGGGTTGGGTTTTTGTATTTTAGAAAAGCGATCCTGTCAGCTTTTCTATTATCCTTTGTATGAGATTGAGTGTATGCGCGTGATTTCACGAGATATATTATTGTGGAAAGTATGATTTTAGTGCCAGAAATAGATGTGAACTGTGTTGATGTGCAGATTTTGCGCATCGTTCTTCCAATTACTAAAGAGAAATACCAGCTGTTTACTAATTACAAAACTATTGAATTCAACTAGGGAGTGTTGTCTTCCTATTTGAACTGACTTCTTGTTACTTCCAAGCATTTTCTTTGTTGTTTTGATTAGGAAACCTTGCCGTGCTAGGAAGAAGAATTACGGTTTTGAGAATTGTTCGAATCATGGACGACTGTGACTGGACTTCGGGGGAGAGTGACGACTCTGATGCACTCTCACCCCTGCAGCCATTAGTGATATGGTCAAGCAGAAGGTCAACCGCGTGTCCTCCACCGCCAACTGCACTATCTTATAGTACACCGTACTCAGCTCTTCACCACGTATACCCCAATAGTGGTAATCAAGTAGCCACATCAGAATTCTCCTCTTCCCAGTTTTCTCTTCAGAATACCGCATTCAACCCCTGGAAATCACGAACATCTTGCGCCGGTGTTCCTCAAGATCATGTACCCAAGGACATGGTGACAGATAAAATCAGGGACCCCCGACCAGAAATCCAGAGGAACAAGGATACAAAGACCAGTGATGCTTCAAATACAGCTGTCGAAAACCCATGTTTGGATTCCTTGACATCGGCAATGGACAAGGATCAAATTTCGCAAGGTAACAGTACCCCAACCGTTAACTGCTATCGCGAACCCGTTTCAGATCATTACACAGGCTACGAGGAAGTAGCGTTTCACAATAAATATGGCAAGAACTACAGCAAATCTGCTGGTATGAACGTTCACGCAGGGCTTGTACACAACTTTGGCCATTTTCCAGTGTCTTCTCCAGTGGCTAGCTTACCCGCGGATTCCGATCATTACGATCTTGAAAAAATCAACACTCATCACAACTCTGAGCTGTTTTCTGAGATAGTTTGTCAACTTCAATCTGACTTTCCCGACCCAGAAGAAACACTCTGCGAAGAAACCGAAAAGTCCCTTGATCGCCAGCTCGATAGGCTTGATCGCGAACATTCACATCCTGGAGAAAAGCAATATAAATGTAAGCATTGCGATACATCTGTTTCTACTCCGTCTTGCCTAAGTTCTCATGAATGTACACATCCAGAAGAGAAATCGTTCAAGTGTAAAGTGTGTGACGAAATGTTCACTACGCAACATAATCTTACCCGTCATGCACGACTTCACTCAGTAGGCAAAGCGTTTCCGTGCAAGTACTGCGGAAACCCGTTCGGTGACAAATACGGCCTACATGTTCATGAACGTATCCATACCGGGGAGAAGCCGTTCAGGTGTGGTTGCTGTGATCAAATGTTTCGCCGTAAAACCCATCTTAGAGTTCATGAACGTACCCATACCGGAGAGAGACCATACAAGTGTAAATCGTGCGAGAAGTCATTCACGGTGAAAGCAAATCTCACCGTGCACCGACGCATCCATACTGGAGAGAGACCATACAAGTGTAAATCGTGCGAGAAGTCATTCACGGTGAAAGCAAATCTCACCGTGCACCGACGCATCCATACTGGAGAGAGACCACACAAGTGTAAATCGTGCGAGAAGTCATTCACGACGAAATCAGATCTCACCCGGCATCGACGCATCCATACTGGAGAGAGACCATACAAGTGTAACCTGTGTAACAAGTCATTCAAGACGAAATCAAATCTCACCGTGCATCAACGCATCCATACTGGAGAGAAACCATACAAGTGTAAAGTATGTGGCATGGCATTTCGGGAAATGTCATCTCTCAAATATCATCAACGAATCCATACTTGAGAGTAACCATTTTCGTGTAAGGACTGTGGAAAGTCTTTCACTAAGAAATCAAGCCTAACACGTCATGAGTGGATCCATCCCTGAGAGAACCTGATCATGTACAAGCGATTGTGACGAGATTTCAATGCGAAAAGAAACATGGAAGACCATGGACATACAAAACACAGAAAACAGCAGTATCGTTTCAAGATTATGGGAAATGCTTTTAACCTATCAAAGAGCGTTTAAAACATTATTCCTTGTTTATGCTTCAAACGCTTCAAACTCTCTAACTCGTTTTCTTATAGGCATTTTTTGGTAACTGTTCAGTTTTAGTTATTGCTCTGCGTGCACCGTCTTATCCTGAATTATCAGCAAACACATGTACTATGATTCGGTTTGCGCTTTTCATGTATCGTTCAACGTAATACATATTTGTTGAAATATACAATTTTTCCTAGTACTTTCCTGTTGTCGTCTTCTTTTTTCTTGCATTATCGTTGTCAACCAAACACGCTCGGTGGTGTGCTAGTAATTTCCTTCTGGTCATATTCATTCAGTCAATGGGTTAGGAGAATGTACAGAATGGAGTTGGACGTCTGTAGAATTGCGACCTATGCTAAGCGCTGAAATCTTCGTAGTGCGTTCAATCGGTTTCGTAAGCTGTACTTTTTATTATTTTAATTTTTTATTACTCAATCTGCGGACAGAACTGTTTCGTCCTTTGTGGACTCGTCAGCGCAGCACAGAGGAAATGAGGCCGAACCTGATAGCAATGGAAATAAAAATTTCCAATCAGGCCCGAACGTACCTTGCCAGAGTGCTCAAACTGACAAGTCAGTGAGCTCTGCATAACGCAAACAGCAAAGGCACTACCCCACGCAAGAGTGCTCAACTGCTACAAGAGCAGGAGCGAAATACTCAATCTGCGGACAGAACTGTTTCGTCCTTTGTGGACTCGTCAGCGCAGCACAGAGGAAATGAGGCCGAACCTGATAGCAATGGAAATAAAAATTTCCAATCAGGCCCGAACGTACCTTGCCAGAGTGCTCAAACTGACAAGTCAGTGAGCTCTGCATAACGCAAACAGCAAAGGCACTACCCCACGCAAGAGTGCTCAACTGCTACAAGAGCAGGAGCGAAATACTCAATCTGCGGACAGAACTGTTTCGTCCTTTGTGGACTCGTCAGCGCAGCACAGAGGAAATGAGGCCGAACCTGATAGCAATGGAAATAAAAATTTCCAATCAGGCCCGAACGTACCTTGCCAGAGTGCTCAAACTGACAAGTCAGTGAGCTCTGCATAACGCAAACAGCAAAGGCACTACCCCACGCAAGAGTGCTCAACTGCTACAAGAGCAGGAGCGAAATACTCAATCTGCGGACAGAACTGTTTCGTCCTTTGTGGACTCGTCAGCGCAGCACAGAGGAAATGAGGCCGAACCTGATAGCAATGGAAATAAAAATTTCCAATCAGGCCCGAACGTACCTTGCCAGAGTGCTCAAACTGACAAGTCAGTGAGCTCTGCATAACGCAAACAGCAAAGGCACTACCCCACGCAAGAGTGCTCAACTGCTACAAGAGCAGGAGCGAAATACTCAATCTGCGGACAGAACTGTTTCGTCCTTTGTGGACTCGTCAGCGCAGCACAGAGGAAATGAGGCCGAACCTGATAGCAATGGAAATAAAAATTTCCAATCAGGCCCGAACGTACCTTGCCAGAGTGCTCAAACTGACAAGTCAGTGAGCTCTGCATAACGCAAACAGCAAAGGCACTACCCCACGCAAGAGTGCTCAACTGCTACAAGAGCAGGAGCGAAATACTCAATCTGCGGACAGAACTGTTTCGTCCTTTGTGGACTCGTCAGCGCAGCACAGAGGAAATGAGGCCGAACCTGATAGCAATGGAAATAAAAATTTCCAATCAGGCCCGAACGTACCTTGCCAGAGTGCTCAAACTGACAAGTCAGTGAGCTCTGCATAACGCAAACAGCAAAGGCACTACCCCACGCAAGAGTGCTCAACTGCTACAAGAGCAGGAGCGAAATACTCAATCTGCGGACAGAACTGTTTCGTCCTTTGTGGACTCGTCAGCGCAGCACAGAGGAAATGAGGCCGAACCTGATAGCAATGGAAATAAAAATTTCCAATCAGGCCCGAACGTACCTTGCCAGAGTGCTCAAACTGACAAGTCAGTGAGCTCTGCATAACGCAAACAGCAAAGGCACTACCCCACGCAAGAGTGCTCAACTGCTACAAGAGCAGGAGCGAAATACTCAATCTGCGGACAGAACTGTTTCGTCCTTTGTGGACTCGTCAGCGCAGCACAGAGGAAATGAGGCCGAACCTGATAGCAATGGAAATAAAAATTTCCAATCAGGCCCGAACGTACCTTGCCAGAGTGCTCAAACTGACAAGTCAGTGAGCTCTGCATAACGCAAACAGCAAAGGCACTACCCCACGCAAGAGTGCTCAACTGCTACAAGAGCAGGAGCGAAATACTCAATCTGCGGACAGAACTGTTTCGTCCTTTGTGGACTCGTCAGCGCAGCACAGAGGAAATGAGGCCGAACCTGATAGCAATGGAAATAAAAATTTCCAATCAGGCCCGAACGTACCTTGCCAGAGTGCTCAAACTGACAAGTCAGTGAGCTCTGCATAACGCAAACAGCAAAGGCACTACCCCACGCAAGAGTGCTCAACTGCTACAAGAGCAGGAGCGAAATACTCAATCTGCGGACAGAACTGTTTCGTCCTTTGTGGACTCGTCAGCGCAGCACAGAGGAAATGAGGCCGAACCTGATAGCAATGGAAATAAAAATTTCCAATCAGGCCCGAACGTACCTTGCCAGAGTGCTCAAACTGACAAGTCAGTGAGCTCTGCATAACGCAAACAGCAAAAGCACTACCCCACGCAAGAGTGCTCAACTGCTACAAGAGCAGGAGCGAAATACTCAATCTGCGGACAGAACTGTTTCGTCCTTTGTGGACTCGTCAGCGCAGCACAGAGGAAATGAGGCCGAACCTGATAGCAATGGAAATAAAAATTTCCAATCAGGCCCGAACGTACCTTGCCAGAGTGCTCAAACTGACAAGTCAGTGAGCTCTGCATAACGCAAACAGCAAAGGCACTACCCCACGCAAGAGTGCTCAACTGCTACAAGAGCAGGAGCGAAATACTCAATCTGCGGACAGAACTGTTTCGTCCTTTGTGGACTCGTCAGCGCAGCACAGAGGAAATGAGGCCGAACCTGATAGCAATGGAAATAAAAATTTCCAATCAGGCCCGAACGTACCTTGCCAGAGTGCTCAAACTGACAAGTCAGTGAGCTCTGCATAACGCAAACAGCAAAGGCACTACCCCACGCAAGAGTGCTCAACTGCTACAAGAGCAGGAGCGAAATACTCAATCTGCGGACAGAACTGTTTCGTCCTTTGTGGACTCGTCAGCGCAGCACAGAGGAAATGAGGCCGAACCTGATAGCAATGGAAATAAAAATTTCCAATCAGGCCCGAACGTACCTTGCCAGAGTGCTCAAACTGACAAGTCAGTGAGCTCTGCATAACGCAAACAGCAAAGGCACTACCCCACGCAAGAGTGCTCAACTGCTACAAGAGCAGGAGCGAAATACTCAATCTGCGGACAGAACTGTTTCGTCCTTTGTGGACTCGTCAGCGCAGCACAGAGGAAATGAGGCCGAACCTGATAGCAATGGAAATAAAAATTTCCAATCAGGCCCGAACGTACCTTGCCAGAGTGCTCAAACTGACAAGTCAGTGAGCTCTGCATAACGCAAACAGCAAAGGCACTACCCCACGCAAGAGTGCTCAACTGCTACAAGAGCAGGAGCGAAATACTCAATCTGCGGACAGAACTGTTTCGTCCTTTGTGGACTCGTCAGCGCAGCACAGAGGAAATGAGGCCGAACCTGATAGCAATGGAAATAAAAATTTCCAATCAGGCCCGAACGTACCTTGCCAGAGTGCTCAAACTGACAAGTCAGTGAGCTCTGCATAACGCAAACAGCAAAGGCACTACCCCACGCAAGAGTGCTCAACTGCTACAAGAGCAGGAGCGAAATACTCAATCTGCGGACAGAACTGTTTCGTCCTTTGTGGACTCGTCAGCGCAGCACAGAGGAAATGAGGCCGAACCTGATAGCAATGGAAATAAAAATTTCCAATCAGGCCCGAACGTACCTTGCCAGAGTGCTCAAACTGACAAGTCAGTGAGCTCTGCATAACGCAAACAGCAAAGGCACTACCCCACGCAAGAGTGCTCAACTGCTACAAGACTAATTTTTTATTATAATATTATCGCGATAATTGATGGAATATATGGTAGTTTAGTAGGTGTGTTGCGGTGATGTTTTGACCTGACATGCGAGCCGATAATTCTTAGATGTGTTCATTTCTTGCTCTACTTTCGTTGTGTTTGCATGTGTGTGTGCGCTTGTCCGTTTGTGTGTATGATTTTCGCTGTGAATGTCGGTTTATTGTTCCATTGTATCCGGATACTATGACGTCTTTCAAAGTAGAGCTGCTGTTAGCTCATCGTAGAGCTGCAATGCTAATGGATGTAATATAGCTCAAGGCAGAGCCGCAGAAAATGGCCAGATAACACCAGTTGTGAGAGTGTTTGCTCAAAGTAGAGATGCTAATAGCTAAACGTAGAGCTGCTGTAAGCTCAAAGTAGAGCTGCTGTTAGCTCAAATTAGAGCTGCTGTTAGCTCAAAGTAGAGCTGCTGTTAGCTCATCGTAGAGCTGTAATGCTAATGGATGTAATATAGCTCGAGGCAGAGCCGCAGAAAAGGCCAGATAACACCAGTTGTGAGTGTGTTTGGTCAAACTAGAGATGCTAATAGCTAAACGTAGAGCTGCTGTAAGCTCAAATTAGGGCTTCTGTTAGCTCAAAGTAGAGCTGCTGTTAGCTCGTCGTAGAGCTGCAATGCTAATGGATGTAATATAGCTCAAGGCAGAGCCGCAGGAAATGGCCAGATTACACCAGTTGTGAGAGTGTTTGCTCAAAGTAGAGATGCTAATAGCTAAACGTAGAGCTGCTGTAAGCTCAAATTAGAGCTGCTGGTAGCTCAAAGTAGAGCTGCTGTTAGCTCGTCGTAGAACTGCAATGCTAATGGATGTAATATAGCTCAAGGCAGAGCCGCGGGAAATGGCTAGATAACACCAGTTGTGAAAGTGGACCCAATCAGTTCCTAGCATTATTATAATGATGGTCTGAATACGTTGGATAGGGAGGGATGGGGGGAAAAGAAACACTGCAGAAGCACGATCTGTTGTCTGGAAGAACACAACAGGGCAAGCAAGATTTGTTTTTTTCATCAAAACGAGTTTGGTGCCATAATTTTGTGATTATGCAGCAAAACATAGCGCATGACGTCATTCTTGAAGGCAGTATAGAGCCATGCAGTGCAGCTAGTGAGCTGGTTCGGACGAGTACTAGCACAGCTAGCACCCCAAATTTGGTGTCGATGGGATCTTTCAAAGAAGATACTGTGTCCTAACTGCCCTTTCTGACAAATGGAGAGGTGAATCCGTTGTTATAATTATGTTTTGAGCTAACCAGGCTTTAATGGTGTTGGGGCGGCGGTTCAATCCTGTGACCTGTGACAATCGCTTATGCCCAGAGATGCCCTACAGCTAAGCACTCTACCACTAGTGGTCATCCGATCAGTGACCGTTCAATATTTCCGCAGATGTAGAAACTCACGCCTCCTGTGAATCCACACAAGCTCGTGGGATGCAAGGAGCGTACAAGACGTTTTCTGTTTTAATGGTGCTGTTTGTACATAGCGCGGAACTCACGATATTCATTTCGCTTATATCTTTCTTAACACTTAGATCCACCGACATGGTCAACAGTTATACCGTGACGAGTTAGCAAGAGCACCACATCTATGTTTAGAACAGGGCGTACTTTAATCGATTGTGTAACATATGCCTGGTACTACATAGACCATATCACAGGATACCATGTAAACCATGAATCTATTCATAGCAGACACTTTGTGTTCTTCGATTCTAACAACAAAGTGTCTCAGATTGCATCACCTCTTGTCACGTGTTGCAGACTCCACACGAAGCTTGGCTGATCCCATGTCAAGCGTTTAGGTGAAGAAAAATATGGAAATAGAGATAGTGTGTGTGTGTGTTTGTGTGTGTGGAGGGGGGGGGGATGGGTGTTTGTTTGTGTGAGTATGCATGTGTGTGTTTCCGGGCGTGAGCGCATGATGTGAAAATATCATGATGTGTCACTTAAATGTAAGGATGGACTCGGATGAAGAAGCAAGGATTAATTTATAGAAAAGAAAAAAGACCAAGGAAGTACTAGTAACGCTATAACGTCGGTAAACGTCGGTAAACGTCGGTCAACGTCGGTAAACGTCGGTCAACTTCTGTCAACGTCGGTAAATGTCTTGCAAATTTATCGCATGAGCTGATTGTTAAGACATTGGTCGTGTTAGTGATAATTATAGAGCAGCTCGTTAATGTATTGGCCTAGAAATAGACATCAACGTGACAAATTATCTCAAAGTGTTCATGTACATATTCGGGACACACAGTTGCTACTGATTACAATACTAACCTCCTAGTATGAGTTGTTTCTGCTCTATGGATAATTGGTATTGAATTCGGATACTTTGCCCTACATGGCAAGAGAATTGAGTTTGGAAGAATTGTTGAAGTAAGTGGATCATGGATGATTGTGACTGGACTTCGGAGGGGAGTGCCGACTCTGATGCACTCTCACCACTTCCACCATTGGTTATATGGACCAGCAGAAGGTCAACTGGGTATCCCCCACAGCGAAATATACCATTTTACGGTACGATTTACACGGCTCATCACCACGCAAACCCCAATAGCGGTAACCCAGAGACGACCTCAGAAGGCTCCTTTGCGAATTATGCACTTCAGCATTCCTTATTCACCTCTTGGAACACACCAACATCTACCTCCAGAGTGCTCCAAGATCATCCTTGGCTGGACACTGCAGCAGACAACTTCAGGCCACCTCGACCAGAGTTCCAGAGAAACAAGGATACACGCGCTAATGATCCTTCAACAGCAACTGACGATAACCCATGCTCTAATCCCATGACATCAGCAATGGACAATGGCCAAAGATCGCAAAGCAACCGTAACCAAACTGCTAACCATCCCGTTTCTGTTTCAGATCACTACACAGACCATGCACACGTTGGGTATGAGTCGGAAGATGGCGAATACTCAGGCAAATCTGCCGACCTGGAGGTTCACAATATCGAACATGTTCCAGTGGATCTTAGGATGTCTAGCTTATCGCACAAAAATCAGCATGTCTCCGAGTCTAGTTCTGAGGCAGATTTTCAACTTCAAGCTGACTTCCCTCAACCTGAAACTTCGCTTTACAAGGAAACTGGGCCATTGCTTGAACGCCAGCATGATATGCTTGATGGCAGACATTCACGTCCCGTAGAAAAGCCGTATGAATGTAAGTTTTGCGATAAATCATTTTCTACTCAGTCCAGTCTAACATCTCATGAACGTACGCACCGAGAAGAGAAACCTTTCAAGTGTAAAGTGTGCGATAAAGTCTTCGATTGGCGATCTCTTCTTCTCCGCCATGTTCGAGTTCACTCAGGAGACAAACCCTTCACGTGCAAGTTCTGCGCTAAATCATTCAGTGATAAATCCAATCACACTACTCATGAACGGTACCATACCGGAGCGATGCGGTTTAATTGTGATCACTGTGATCAAGGTTTTCACTCCCGTTCCAATCTTAAGATTCATTTACGCATCCACACTGGGGAGAGACCATACAAGTGTAAAGAATGTAAAAAGGCATTCAGACAACCTTCACATCTCACAGATCATCAACGCGTCCATACAGGAGAGAAACCTTTCAAATGTAACGTTTGTGAGGAGGCGTTCAGAAGTGTATCAAATCTCGCAGGTCATCAACGCATCCATACTGGAGAGAAACCGTTCAAGTGTAAAATATGTGAAAAGTCTTTCTCTCGGAAATCTAATCTAAAAGTACATGAAGGAATCCACCTCTGAGAGAAACAATAAAAGTCTGTCAATGATTAAAAAAACACTTGGAAGACTATCAAAATGTTAACATTAACAAATAAGGCTTCTTTTCCAAATTATGGAAAATGTTCATTATACATGTACTTGTAGGCCCTTTTTGAAATGTAAGTAGCCAAATCTGAACGCCACGCAAAGGCCACTGCTTACATGCTGACTTCCATATTTGTAGCATTACAATGATTTTCATTATCATTGTTTTAGAGTTGATATATTGTACAGTTTCTAGCCATGTTACTCAATGCACTTCGTACACGTATTTCCATATCTACCATTCACAAAAAAACAGTTGAGCTGATCATGTGGCTCGTGGTTTATAAAATCTGTACTTTTTCGCGCATCTTTCCTCTTCTGCACGCATGCTGGGTATGGATCCTTTCCCTAGAAGAGACGCAGTGCTGTTTTGAAGTAGGCACATGATGCTAAATATGTGAGATACTTTATTCCTGTATGTAGATGTCTACCTCTGGTCTCATTTGTATAGACCCATTCAAGTCCCCGTCAAAACATTTAAAATCTTCTAATAAAAAGATTGTCTCAATGTTCATGTGCTGGAGGGAAATGTGGAAAGGGGGAAATGACTGTGATCACCAAGACTCCAATCTGATACAATCGATTATGCCCAGCCATACTTTACCCATAATCACTCTACCACTACTAGTCATCCAAGCAGCGTCTGCTCAACATTTTCCTCAGACTTACATGTAGCAACTCTCGCTTCCTATGAATGCACAAAATCTAGTGGGGTTCAAGGAACGTACATGACGTTTAGCATTTAAATGTGGTGTTTGTACATCGTGCGAAACTCAGGATATTCATGATACAAGTGCACGACGATGAAGGTTGACACTTCGTTCAGTGGCTTCTCAACTTTGGTTACGTAGTCTTGTTACCTTTTTGCGTTTCCTCTTGTGGTTGTATTGCATTTGTATCATGATTTTATGTGGCATTTCTAACACCTCAGGATATGCATTCCGCTTATATCAGATTCTTTCTTAAAATTTAGCTCCACCGAAATTGTCGACAGTTATAACGTGTGGAGGTAGCAAGAGGACCATACCAATGCTTAGAACTGGGCATAGTGTAATAGATCATGTCGCGTATACCCGGCACTACCTATATTATAATTATCACAAAAGCCGATATACACCATGCATCTATTCATAGCAGACACCTTTTTGTAATATTCTAACAGCAAAGTGTCTTTGATTGCATCGCCTCTTGTCAGGTGTTACAGAGTCAGCATGAAGCTTGATTGATCCCATGTCTCGCGCTAAGGTGAAGAGAAAATTAATATGGAAATAGAGAGAGTGTTTAAGTGTGTTTGTGTGGGGGGGTTGTGTGTGTGAGTATGTATGTGTGTGTTTCCGGGCGTGAGCTCATGATGTGAAACTATCATAATGTGTCAGTCAAATGTAAGGGCCTAGAAAGTTAATAGACATGAACTTAAAAACGTGACACATTATCAGAGTGTTCATGTACTTATTCGGTAAACACAGTTGCTACTGATTATAATACTTACATGTACCTCTTAACATGAATTGTTTCTGCTCTTTGGATTATTGATATTGAATTCGGATACTTTGCCCTTCATGGCAAGATAACTGCGTTTGGAAGTTTAGTTGAAGTACGTGAATCATGGATGATTGCGATTGGACTTCCGAGGGGAGTGTCGACTCTGACCCACGCTCACCACTGCAACCATTAGTGATATGGACCAGTAGAAGATCAACTGTGTGTCCTCCTAACATACCATATTATGGTACGACTTATACAGCTCATCACCACGCATACGGCAATAGCGGTAATACACAGACGACCTCAGAAGGCTCTTTTGCGAATTATGCACTTCAGCATTCCTCATTCCCCTTCTCGAACACACCAACATCTACCTCCAGTGTGCTTCAAGATAATCCTTGGCTGGACTATGCAGCAGATAACTTCAGACACCCTCGTCCAGAGTTCCAGAGGAACAAAGACACACGCGCCAATGAGCCTTCAACAGCAGCTGACGAAAACCCAAGCCTGAATCTCATGACATCAGCAATGGACATTGACCAAAGATCGCACAACAACAGTCGCCAAACTGTTAACTACCTCGTCTCCGTTTCAGATCACTACACAAGCCACGGGCACGTTGGGTATGACTCCGAGGATTGCGATTACTCAAGCAAATATACCGATGTGGACGATTACAATATCGGACATATTCCAATGGATCTTAGGGTATCTAATTTATCTGAGGATCCCAAGCGTCACAATTATCGAACGCACAACATTCAGTATACTTCCGGTTCGAGTTCTGAGGAAGATATTCAACTTCAAGCTGACCACCTTCAACCCGAAACTTCTCTTTGCAAGGAAACCGGGCCTTCGCTTGATCGCCAGCATGATGTGCTTGATCGCGCACTTTCACATCCAGTAGAAAAGCCGTATAAATGTAAGTTTTGCGATAAAACATTTCCAACTCACTACTGTCTAACATCTCATGAACATGTGCACCGAGAAGAAAAACGTTTCAAGTGTAAAGAGTGCGATAAAGTCTTTGATAGGCGACACAATCTTGTCCGTCATGGTCGAGTTCACTCAGAATACAAACCCTTCACGTGCAAGTTCTGCGCTAAATCATTCAGTGATAAATCCAATCATACTGCTCATGAACGGTACCATACCGGGGAGAAGCGGTTTGCCTGTGATCACTGTGATCGAGGATTTCACTCCCGTTCCAATCTTAAAATTCATGTACGCATCCATACTGGGGAGAGACCATACAAGTGTAAAGAATGTGGCAAAGAATTCACACAACGATCACATCTCACAGTTCATCAACGCATCCATGCCGGAGAGAAACCTTTCAAGTGTACCGTTTGTGACAAAGCGTTTGGGACTCCATCAAATCTTTCAAAACATAAACGCATCCATACTGCATGAAAACCCTTCAAATGTAACGTTTGTGGCGAATCATTCAGGAATACTTCACATCTTGCAAGTCATCAACGCATCCATTCTGGCACGACGCCATTTTCGTGTAAAGTATGTGGAAAGCCTTTCTCTCGGAAATCCAATCTAACGGTACACGAAGGAATCCATCCCTGAGAGAAACTTATCAGCGACTGTGACAAGTATTTCAATCGTACAAAACAACACCTGGAAGACCATGCAAACTACTAACACCGTTGAACAAAAGGTTTCTTTCCCAGATTAAGAAAAATGTTCATTATAAGTGCGTTTTGAAATGCAAGTAGCCCAATCTGAACTCCATGCAAAAATCAATTCTTACATGCTGACTTCCATATATGAAACATCACAAACATTATCATTATCATTGTTTTAGAGTTGATATATTGTTCGGTTTCTAGCCATATTACTCAATGCACTTCGTACACGTGTTTCCATATCTACCATTCACAAAAAAAAACAGTTGAGCTGATCATGTGGCTCGTGTTTTATAAAATCTGTATTTTTTCGCGCATCTTTACTCTTCTGCACGCATGCCGAGGTATAGATCTTTTCCTCAGAAGAGACGCTGTGCTGTTTTGAAGTTGGCACATGATGCTAAATATGTGAGATAGTTTATTCCTGTATGAAGATGTCTACCTCTGGTCTCATTTGTATAGACCCGTTCAAGTCCCCGTCAAAACGTTAAAAATCTTCTAATAAAAAGATTACCTAAATGTTCCGATGATTTGCTGGAGGGAAATGTGGAAAGGGGGAAATGACTGTGACCACGAGGACTCCAACCTGATACAATCGATTATGCCCAGCCATACTCTACCACTAATCACTCTACCACTACTAGTCGTCCAAGCACCGACTGCTCAACATTTTCCTCAGACTTACATGTAGCAACTCTCGCTTCCTATGAATGCACAAAATCTAGTGGCGTTCAAGACGTTTAGGATTTAAATGTGGTGTTTTTACATCGTGAGAAACTCAGGATATTCATGATACAAGTGCACGACCACGAAGGTTGACACTTCGTTCAGTGGCTTGTCAACTTTGGTTACGTAATCTTGTTGCCCTAGTGTTTTATTGCACTCCTATCATGATTTTATGTGGCATTTCTAACACCTCATTCCGGATATATCAGATTCTTTCTTAAAAATTAGCTCTACAGAAATTGTCAACAGTAATAACGTGTGGAGTTAGCAAGTGGACCATACCAATGCTTAGAACTGGGCAGAGTGTAATAGATCATGTACCGTATACCCGGCACTACCTCAAATGTCAAAAAGAATGGTTCCACCAATTATTATACATACGTTGTAACGCTGCGTTTCATGCACGTAGCTAAATGCTAAGGCAATCATCAGACAACTAATGCTATTGTCGCGGGATAGCTTGTTCTTAGTGTGGGGGATACGCATGGGCATGTGTGAGTTATCAATGCAGGGCATGCATGGGACGAGCGAGTGATAAGAAATATATCACTGGATGGGCATGCGAAGTAGGCGCGAACTATGCATTGAGCGTGCAGAGGCGGAGAAACCACCAGGCAGGGCAAGGGTAAGCCATGGGGGCACTGGGAAGGGGTGTGATGTGTGGCGGAGGAAGCCCACTGTGGTGTCCACATTCAACAGCCGCGGGTATTCAGAGGATTTGGCGGTGATAATGGTAGCACGCGGTGGCTATGTCACGGCAGAGTAGGTGGAGAGGTAGAACTTGTTTTGGTGTCTGCACTTTGATACCAACTCTGATCTCTTTTTGAGCAGAGTGTGAGGCATCTTGAAGGTGATGATGAGCAACGTTTCTGCTAAACACAAGCAGCACCTTTTGGATATGTTGCTGTAGGACTTGGCCCGATCTATGACTGCCCGTTTGATTCTGTATTCCTCACCTTGGTCAACTAGCGCCCATGTGTGCTTGGATAGCTCGGTCTTGGTACGGTACTTTTCATGCCGCATGCTGGTTAGGTGGTTGCCATAGCTCACCTTGAAGGGCGCCTCGCACAGGCCGATGTATTGCCTTTCCTCGCCGGTACTTGGGGTTGTGACGGAAGCCTGGTACTCCGCTTCCCCCTCCAAGCATCCGCC